CAAGGAACCAACAGCGGCAAAAGTGTCCAAGGCACGTGAACCAGAGCAGCTGCCTCTTGAACAGGAGCTGTGTAAAAGGAAGCTGAGACCTGCCGGGCTGCTGCATTCCCAGGTGGTGAAGACATTCTAAGTCACGGGATGAGATGGGGGGTTGGCACAAGATACAGGTCATAAAAACCTTGCTGATAAAACAGGGTGCCATAAAGGAGCCGGCCAAAACCCACCAAAACCAAGACGGTCACGAGCGTGACCTCGGGTCATGCTCACCGCTACACTCCCACCAGCGCCATGACAGTTATGAGTGCCATGGCCATGTCAGGAAGTTACCCCAGGTGGTCTAAAGAGGGGAGGCATGAATATTCCACCCCTCACTTAGCATATCATCAAGAAATAACCATTAAATGGTTATGCTGTGTCTATGGAATAGAAGAGGGCAAGGGCACGAAGGACGAGAAGGGAAAGTGCACAGCCCCCACGACCCGCCAGGTGAGCCCTTCGCACCCACACATTTAATTTCCCAGCTTCCCAGGAAGCTGGCCAGTGGGACTAGGGCGCAGGAGGCAGGACCCAGCGCCCCCAACACCCCTGGGGTCCTTTGCCTGGACCATTCAACAAAAGAAGGTGCCTGGTTCTGCAGCTCGGTGATGTGGCCGCCCCCGGATTCCCTGATTTCCGGGCAGCAGGCTGCAGCCAGAACTGCCTCTGAGCATCGGAGCTGCAGCACGGCTCTGGGTGAGTGGCTGGCATGCAGGCATACAGGATACCCACTATTTTCTTTGCTCCCATCTCCATCTGAAGAAGCCGACCAGAACCCCTTCCTCTCTGGCTCCATGCTGGCCTCAGACAGCTCACCCTTCCCTCCTCCGGCCCCTAGAGGAGAGGGTGCGCTGGTTATGAGAAACGAGGAGGGTGTGGAGGACCCCAGGAGCAAGAGGGTTCTGAGGCCCGAGCTGAGAGTCAGGTCGGGGTTGGGGTCAGGTGTTAGTTGGGGGATCAGGTCTGAGTTGGGGGGCAAGTCTGGGTTGGAGATCAGGTCTGGGCTGGGGTCAGGTCTGAGTTGGGCGTCAGGTTTGGGTTGGCGGCTAAGTCTGAGGCTGGAGGTGACGTTGGGATTGGGGTCAGGTCTGGGGTTGGGGGTCAGGTCTAGTTGGGGGTCTGGGTTGTGGGGTCAGGTCTGAGTTAGGGGATCTGGTCTGGGATGGGGTCAGGTCTGGGCTAGGGTCAGGTCTGCGTTAGGGGATCAGGTCTGGGTTGGGGTCAGCTCTGGGTTGGGGGTCAGTTCTGAGTTAGGGGGTCAGGTCCGGGGTTAGAGATCAGGCCTGGGGTTGGGGGTCATGTCTGGGATTGGGGGGATCAGGTCTGGGTTGGGGTCAGTCTGGGCTGGGGGGTCAGGTCTGGGGTTGGGGTCAGGTCTGGGTTGGGGTCATGTCTGAGATTGGGGGGTCAGGTCTGGGTTGGGGATCAGGTCTGGGTTGGGGGGTCATGTCTGGGTTGGGGATCAGGTCTGGGTTGGGGTCAGGTCTGGGGTTGGGGATCAGGTCTGGGTTGGGGGTCAGCTCTGGGGTTGGGGTCAGCTCTGGGGTTGGGGTCAGATCTGGATTAAGGACTTAAGTCTGGGGTTGGGAATGAAATCTATGTTGGGGGGTCAAGTCTGCATTGGGGGTCAGGTCTGGCATTGGGGGTCACATCCAGGTTGGGGGTCGGGTCTGGGGTTGGAGGTTCAGGTCCGGGCTGGGGGTCAGGTATGGGGTTGGGGATCGGGCCTGGGGTTGGGGATTAGGTCTGAGGTTGGGGTTCAGGTCTGTGTTGGGCATCAGGTCTGGCTGGGGAGTCAGGTCTGTGTTTGGGGTCAGGTCTGAGGCTTGGAGGTCAGGTTTGAATTAAGGGTCAGGTCTGGGTTGGGGGTCAGATCTAGGTGGGGGATCAGGTCTAGGTTGGGGATCAGGTCTGGGATTGGGGTCAGGACTGGGTTTGGGGTCACCACTGGTTTGGTGTCCGGTCTGGGCTGGGGGCATCAGGTCTCAATTGGGGATCAGGTCTGGGTTGAGGGGAAAGTTTGGGTTGGGGGCAGGTCTGGGTTAATGAGGAGAGGTGGGTTCTGAAGGCAGAGGGGAGTGGACAGCTGTGGAGCTCCGAGAAGATGGGGGCAGGCGGGGACAACAGTTCTCGGCTTTCGAGGGGGGACGGGGTGGGTGGAGCTGCGCAGGTGTCTTTGGGTTTCTGGGGTTCCTAGGAATTCTGGGGTCTAGAATTCGGAGGCCCAGGGCGGGGTTAGGCCTGGAGTTCGGGGGTGGGGGCGGGTCTGCGGTTCCGAGGTGGGGGTGTCGAGCTCACCGGGGACTGGGTCAGTGGCTCCCATCGCGCCCCAGTCCGCATTGGCGCCGCCCAGCGTGTTGCGGTTGCCCAGAGCAACGTGCTGGGGCGGCCGAGCGCATTGTGCACCCGGGCGCCGGCGGCTGGCTCGGGGCGTGGGGCTGCGCGGACGGCGGGGGACCCGGGGGGCGCGGGGGCGCGGGGGGCGGCGGCGCGCGGGGGCCTCGGGCCCTGACGGGCAGCGGTCGGCGGCGTTGGGGCCGGGCCCGGGTTGGGGGCCGGGCTGGGGTCCGGGTCCAGGTCCCAGGCCGCTGTCGGAGCAGGCGCGGCTGCGGGGTCCGGGGCGCGGGACGGTGCGCGCCATGGTGCCTACGGGGAGGGCCTGGGGGTAGCCCCAGGTCACACGCTGCGGCCCCGCGCCCCGCTGTGAGGGTCACACTCAGTCCGGCACCAGGTCACAAAGACCCGCGGGTCACACCCTGCCCCTCCCTCGCAGCCCCCCAGCCGTGCCGGGCCTTCTCGCCCTCCCGAGGCTCTCGCGCCGCCCTCTCTCCCTGGGCCGGGCCCCCACGCCAGGCTGGAGGGGCGGGTGAGGGTGCAGCGGGCGCTCGGCTTCTCCGGGGCTGCGTGCCGGGGGTCCTGGCGGTTGGGGGCGACGGGGTGACCGCAGCAGCGCCCCCCTCCCGTGGCGGAACCTGGGAGGCTTTGGTATTTGTAGAGCCACTTGCGGTGTCCCACACAGCTGCCTACCCCGGGGCGTTCTGAGCCCACCTAGGTCCACACAGCCTGTGTCCTTGGCCCCCCGGATCAGATCACCACCCCATCAGTTCGGGTCTGATCTGGCACCTTGGAGTGGGGGCAGGGAAGACACACACACACACCCCACCCCCCCCACCACCCCCCTGTCAGGACCCTGACTCATGGGACCTTTCCAAAACCTAGATGTCATCTTTGTTGTTTGTTTTATTTTTTGCCTAGACGAAGCTGAGGGAGCTGATTTATTTGGTTTTAAATCAACTTTATTTTGCATTTACCTTCCCAAGATACCCCAAAAGGGAGGTTCTGGCCAGGCTCTGAAGGGGCTGGTGGGGGACTGACTGGGGGTGAGTATCCCCTGGCTGGGGTGGTTTCTTTCCAGCTGCCTCCCTCTTACCCTGGGAAAGCCACTGGGCTCCCACCAGCCCTCCAGCACTGACCTCTAGGGGCTACACAAATCAGCCTGCCTCCACCCGCCCCTCCTGCTTGTCCCTTCCGATGCCTTCAGACCTTGGCTGAGCCGACCCTGCCAAGACCCAACATTGAAGAGCCACAGCCACGTCTACAAGTCAGCGTTTATTGTTCAAGCGTATTAAACAAAAATGTAGGCTGAAAGAGACAGTTCTTTTAAACCCATCTGTCCGGATTTGTTAAGCTCTCTAAGATAAGAAAGTGGAGCCAGTAAAAACTCCCCAGGTGCCTCATTCTGGCTCTGAAACTCTCTGGTCTGCCCCCATCAGCCCGCCCCGTGCTGTCCCTGTGGCTCCCACCCCATTCCCAGGAGCAGACCCCACCTGGCCCCTGGCCTCAGAGCTGACAGAGGCAGGGGTGTCCTGCAGACGGGGTGGGGTCTGCATTGGGTGCCCGTGACAGCAGCCTCTCCTCTCCCACCGTGATGCTTGTTTGGGGCGTGGCCAAGGTGTTTGCCGGCCCCTGACTCTGTCCTTCCGGGCCCAAGTCAGCAGAGAGGGCCTGGCTTGTCTCCTCTCGGAGCAGCTGGGGAGGCATCTGGCCTGCATTCCCCTCGATTGGTTGAAAATAATGATCCCACTTGTCACGAACACCATGAAGGTACCTCGGCAGCCAGAGTCACCTGTTCAGCAGTGAGAGCCCCGGGAGGGTCTACAGGCTGCCCCGTCCAGCGGCATCTCCCGGGCCGCAGAATGCATCTCCAGGCCTTCCCAGCAGCCCATGGGGGACCCGTCAGTATAACCCGCGGCAGTAAAGAGGAAATGTTCATGTCTTCTTGATGCTGCTATCCTCTCAGACCAGAAGGGAAGAAACAAACCCCTGTGATGTACGACCTTGTGAAGGAAAACACCTGCTGGAAAGTAATTACCAACCAGCAGCCCTCCCAGTTTCACAGCTGCCCCAACTCACTGCGGATCTACTGCCGGGTCAGCTGGGAGGACGCAGGCGCCCGCAGGGGGATGAGGAGACGGCAGGGAAACCCACTCCTGGCCCTGGCGCCACTCAAAGTCAGTGTTTTATTCTCACACCCAGCAGTCCCCGAAGCCTGGCAGGTTAGCAGTGACCACCTGGGCTGTACCCTAAGACCTCAGAACAGCAGAGATGGAGAAAACCACTGCCCTGGGCCTTATCAGTGAAGATGAATACCAAGCACCTGCTACGAGGTAGAGGGCCGGGCGAACCTGGGAGGGTTCCTAGGCTCTGGCCTGGTCTGTCCTGCATTTTGAGTAACGGGAGCAAACACAGGAGGGAGGGGCTCAGCTTCCCCTGTCACTGGGGCCAGGGAGACACTCTCCAACCTGATTACAAAGCCTTAGACTCATCGGCACCCCCAAGAACACTGCCTCTCACAGCAGCGGTCACGTGGCACTCCAAGCTGGGCATGAATGCACCTGGGACAAGGCCAGCCAGTGTGGAGGTGGATCCCGGCATGACTGGGTCTAAGTGGGAAGAGAGGGCAGGCAAGCCGGTGTGGATTTCACCTGGGAGAGCGGAGGCAGCCTGTGTCACTTGGCCCTGGGCTCTGGAGGAGCGGCCCCCGAGGCTCTCCAGCCAGGACAGCAGCGCCCAGCCTTGCTCTCACTGTCCAGGAAGCGCTGCTGGGCAGGCTGAGCCTGGGGCAGGTGCACCTCGCAGGGAAGTGGGTAAGGTCCCACCGGGCTGACTGAGTGCCTGGGATAGACCAAGAGTGGAGGGAGGAAGCTGGGTCAGAGTGGGCAGGAGACTCGGAGACCATGGTCGGAGAGTCCACTCCAGCCCAAGCTACAAGAGAGCCAGGCTGGGGTCTGCTCAGGGGGGCTCTCAGAGGCTGAACCAGGGCCCTTCCTCGGCCTGGGAAGCTGCGGCCACGCTCCTGCTATTAGGACATGGGAGCCGTTTGGATCCGACTGATCTGAGGCACAGAATAGCCAATGTTGGCCTATTTTAAAATGAAACTACCCTAGGAATTGAAAACCTCACCTGCAGCCTGGTCTGCCCTTGCACAAGGGAAAGGGAGGTGTTAGAGGCAGCAGCTCAGGGCGATTAGGGGCTCTGCATTTCTGCGCTCGGGGCCAGGCTGGGCACTGCTGCCCAGTTCCCCGTCTGGGGGTCACTGGGCCATTTGCACCATGGCAGCTTTCCAGGCTTTCTCCTTGTCAAACTCCTTCAGGGGGCTCCTGGACACCTGCTGCAAGACAGAGACAGGAGAGGCGTTACTTCACAAGGGCCACCTGTGCAGCAGGAAGGCGGACACGCCCCTCAGCCACAGCAGGGAGCAGCAGCGAGCATTCTCTTAACTTCAGAAGTTTTTTTTGAATGTGAAGGAAGGAGCGGAAATAACCCCAGGGTCTCTAGGTAAAGAGATAAAGGCCTTTACTCCCTCAATGCCCAGGAAACACCTGCGTCCCTGCACACGTGGTCTCTATGGAGCCTGGGGTAGTGCAGCCCTTCATCGGACCGTTGCCCTGGCTCTGAGGGGCTGGGAGGCTGCCCAAGGGTGGGCATGTGCCTGATGGCCGAGGAAGAAGACACGAGGCAGAGGTGACCAGATGCCTCCAGGCACAAGGAGGACAGTGCCAGCCTCAGCCACCTACCCTGAGCCCCTGCCATCCACCCTGAGCCCCTGCCACCCACCCTGAGCCCCAGCCGCCCACCCTGAGCCGCAGATACTCAACCTGAGCCCCTGCCGCCCACCCTGATCCCCTGCTGCTTACCCTGAGCCCCAG